AAAGTCATAGTATAGTATGTCGTCCAAAATCATGAAAAAAGTCATAGTATAGTATGTCGTCCAAAATCATGAAAAAAAGTCATAGTATAGTATGTCGTCCAAAATCATGAAAGAAAGTCATAGTATAGTATGTCGTTCAGAATCATGAAAGAACGTCATAGTATAGTATGTCGTCCAAAATCATGAAAGAAAGTCATAGTATAGTATGTCGTCCAGAATTATGAAAAAAAGTCATCGTATAGTGTGTCGTCCAAAACCATGAAAAAAGTCATAGTACAGTATGTCATCATGTTACTTAATGTGTTTGTTTGTTTTACGTGTTCTTTACCGTTTTCCCTGTCAGAGTCCAATATACAAGGTGCTTATTTCTATGTCCAATTCATTGAATTACATTTAAATAGTAGACGTGAATTATTCACTCTTTCCAGCAGATGGCCCTGTTACTCTGTCATATTTCCTGGATAAAGGAACTGGAAGGCTGCCTGCACTGCATAAAGATTCAAAACCATAGTCTTCACAGCTCAACACCCACTCACATGTGTTTCTGTTATAAAGACAGAGAGTGGGCGTGAGCAGAGATACACTTCACACATTTCAGACACTTTGGTTTCACTGATGAATAATCAGACGATCTCGGCCTGGGCTCTGGAAACTGTCGGCATCCTTTAATGTGCCTCAGAGCAGACTTATGATTACATGTCAAGATTTAAGATTGATGGATTGATTCTGCAAAGGTCCAACGTAGATTTGAGGCCACAAAAGTTTCATAGTAATTAATGTGTTGCTGCTCAAAACTTTTGATGATTAATTTCTAATCAGGGAATACAAAGAGCATTTTCACATTACATGAAACACAGTAGCTGCTTTATTTTTACACTTACAAGTTGTTTTTAAATAAAACTGGAGTATCAGCCACCATGGTTTTCCACATATTCTTTTGTAAATTGTAGAAGATATACTGTATTAATCCCCGGAGAGAAAGTCATTTTTCACTCTGTCATATACACACAGGCCCAAAATACATACACTTGTGCAAACAGGACCTATACATGCATTAAATGGAGAGATGTCAGAACGGACGACCTTCTGGACTCCATGTGGACTGAGCTACTGCTGCCCCCAGTTGTATTGTATGACCTTGTATAGATCTATTTAAAAATCATGATTACTACACAGAGGATCTCACATAATTTTAAATAAAAGACTAAAACTCAGTGTGCTGCGTCAAACATAATGTGCTCTGAGTTTTACTTACTGTACGGGAATGTATAGTTTGTCCACAAAGCCACATTTATCTCAAGCCCCTGAAAAGAAATCACTGATTTTACCAGTATTCTTCTGCAACTGTGAATAGTAAACTGACATAGTGACAATACATCAGTTGGTCAAAAGAGGGCAGCCCTCATGTAGATTATCATAATCATTATTTAAAGTTATATGTATGGAGGTGAGAGGGAGTTTTTTACTCCACTTGGTGGGGTGGTGTGTGTCCTCCTCAAGCTCAGGTCTTCTACCAAAGGCATGGGAGTCTGAGGGTTCTGTGTCAAATCTTAGCTGTTCCTAGGATTGCACTCTTCTGGACAGAGTCTTCAGTTGTTGTTCCTGGAATTTGCTGGAGCCACTCTCCCAGTCCTCCCAGTTTGGGGGTCACAGCCCCTAATGCGCCTGTTACCACTGGGTCCGCTTTGGACCTCACCTTCCACATCTGTTCCAGTTGTTCCTTCAGCCCCTAGTACTTCTCACTCTTTTCGTGCTCCTTCTTCCTGATGTTACTGCTGCTCATTAGACTGGAACTTGAATATATATGTGTGTGTAGATAGATAGATAGATAGATATAGATAGACTAAGCTGTAAGAATAGAAACGTAAGAATAAAAACACAGAGCAGTGAAACGATGGTCTTCTCCCAGGACTGCTATAGAGAGCTGTTACTACAAAAGACGTGTATGGAAAATGTAAAATGCACAGAAGGTTAAATACAGTATACTAGCAGAGGGTGAATATCTAAATAAAAACAAATGGGGTGTAAATATCTAAAGAAAATGTAAATGCAAATTGTGCAAGGCCTTTAAATGCCCTAAAAGGATCATTAAATTGCATTGTCCCCCTCTGTTCAGCCCATGGTGCTGTGTAAGAACACTTCATATTATTTTGATGCACTCAGTGTTGGAATGCAGCCAGGAGCCACAGTCATCTGTCTTTTGAAGGTCTTACAACTTGAACCATCATTTCTTTTACAAACCTTATTATGCATATGGATTCATTTATCCTATTATCTGATGGGCACCGTCCACACATGAATAACTATTTATGGTTATTATCTGGCCAGGGTGTGTGTCTGTATTTTTATGTAATAAAAAAAAGTCATTGAAAAGAATCATTGTCTCGTCTCTCTGAGGACTCACTTGTGGTGTGAGTGGACTGAGTGGTTCCAGCTTTAGCTGTGGCTTCAGGGGGGATACTGGACTCTGTTGACTCTGTGTACTGTTTTGGTATCAACCAAAATGTGTCTGTCATGCAACCATGGTCACAGTGATACTTCCCAAGAAAGTAATATGATAGTTTATATTGTTTAATTTTCCCTGTTATGATCAAATATGCACAACCATCCAAACACTCTTTGCATCAAATACTGTATAATATTCACACACAGAATCAAGAGACAAAATGTTTCATGCAAAGACTTTTATTTATGAATAGTCTGCAGTACTCTACAACAGCACACACTTGTCTCTATTTCTGATCATTCTCAATGATCATTTCAAATATAGACAAATATTGTGCCTTCAAAAACAGTTCCCTTTTCACAATAATCTAAAAATACCTTGTTCTGTTTTTAAATATGTAGCATAACTTTTTGAAAATAAAATATACATTATATGAAATATAACAGTTGTTTATTGGATAGACTATATAGTACCAAATGCAATTATATGCAAATACACCTTCTCTCTGTGACTTCTGACGCATTTCATGCACAAAAAAAAAGAGGAGAAAAAAAAAGATGTCGCGCATACAAAAGAAGCTGTACATACTCCTGTATGAAAATAGAAAATATCAAAGCAAGATGTGCACCAATAGTCTATATCATGTTACAAAGAACTTGCAGTACAAAAAGACCTACGAGAATGACCAGATAACACATTACCTGGAACACAGAGGTACGGGTACTGGGTTGGTTAACAGGACAAAGACAAAACCTGGCACTGAGCTTCCACTGGTGAACTCCAGTCAGAGCCGCTTCTACGCAAGTCTACAACCAGATCCGACAGGTTCAACATCTAACACTGGATCAAAGAGTGACAGGGTCAAACAAGCAAACCAAAAGTTGCAGTTTTAGCTTTGAATTTTGGTATTAAACCCAGTAAATGTAGATGTCCAATGCATAGCACAAAGTTTGGTTTGGTATGTTTTGAATTTTTTTCGTATTGCTACCCCATATGTGAAGTGAGTGTAAACCAGTTGCCAGTTATGCCCACGACACACAAAAGCACTGATATGTCAACATTAAATTATTGAACATGTTCAGATACTGTGATTAGTATTCCAACAACAATGTTCTGTACAGCATCAATATTAAGCTTCTTCAGCTGAATATTATTATTATTGCCAAAACAACTCCAAATGTTTTCATTAAAATAAAAAGAATCACTGGTGTCCAGTTAAAATTAGGATTTGTAAACCGACAATACTGGATGTGTGACACACAAATCAAGTTCTCCACAGAAACAGTGTGTACAAGGCACACTGCGATCAGTATAGCTACATCTATCGTTTCCTGCAAAAAAAGCACTTCTGAAATCACACAAACGGAGATGTGAACAAAGGAAAACTCCACGGTTAAATAAAGACTTCTGTTAATGCCACAAAATAGATCTTCAACAGTGTGAGGATGAACAGAAATAACACTTAAATCAGACGTTATCTCTGATACATGTTGCGTTCGCTGATGCTGAGACTGGCAGCGTCGGAGAACGGGGAGGATGCAGACGTGAATCCCTCCTAGTGTAATCTCTGAGTATTTGAGGAGATTATCAGGTGCTCGCTGGTAACATAAAGCCAATAATCTCAGCAGTGCAAACCTAACACCTGTACCAAAAGGTAGAGCTTTAAAGCAGATGCTTAAATGAGATGAGCTCCTTGAAATGGAGAGTTAAACTACTTAAATCATGTCACAAATGTCCCGTATACAACGACTATATTGCTCTTAGTGAAACTATTCAAGGACCACAGTGTTTCTCATTGCAATCCAGGCTCTCTGAGTACATTCTCTATCACACAAGTATAAGAATAAAGAACAGGGGGTTTCATTATTAGTAATACACCCAAAGACTACACTTCCAAAAAATCTAGTCTTTTCTTAACATAGATAAGAAAATATACATTTCTTCAGCAATTAAATGACTTAAATTTACTTTTTTATATTCTTAATAAAATCTTATAACTCTTTCTTATTTACATTTGGTGTAGGTTAATACTGATTGTAATGCAATACTGTTGCCTTCTTGTTGTTGTTTTTTCTGTTACATTTCTTATGTTTGTTGAGCAGAAGCACTTTTACATTCATATTTCAACACCCGGGCTCGAGAAGGAGCCCGAGTGCAGACAGGGAATAATGACATGCATTTTTCCAAAAGCAAAATAAGACGACTTCAAAAGGAGGAAGTCCGCTTGCTTGAGCAAATAAACTTTCGGAGAGAGGTGGAGAGAATGGAAGGACGAGGACGTCGAGGTTGAAAAGGCCTGGAGAATTGGCACCGGCGGCGCCTTTATTTGGCTGTAAAAATGCTCTCGCAGCACCAGGACAGTCAGTTCTGTGAGAAGTAATTCGTAACAATATTGGAGGGGTCATGGCTGACTAGGCCGTGAGGTGAGATGAAAGCTTTTGTTGTTGGAAAAAGCTGTTAACTTGAGAAAGACAGATTTCCACAGTGGCGAAGGCAGTGTCAGGGGTTACACTCTCTCCACTCGACTGGGGTCGTAGGAGTCTGATGAGAAAAGAGAGGGAAGAAAAGATGAGACAACACAATCAAAACAAGTCACAACGATATTATTTGCCCTTAAAAAGGTGGAAAATAAAGGTACCCTGTGGAGTTGGACTGTTTGTTAGTGCTTGCTACATACAATGACTGTTGGTGAGTAACACTGAATGTAAACAGTAACTTTGTTAATAAGAACGTCTGCAGCGCCTGCAAAGGAATAGATGAACAATTTGGGTAACTGGCCTCATTCACCAGCTGCTTCAAGAAGAAATGTATTTTTAAAACCCACAGATGCAATTTTCACAAAGATCTTGATATTCACCAATGTTTTCTTATTTTGGATTTGTTCCTAGGTAAGAACTGAACCCACACACACTAAACCAGTGGTTCCCAACTGGTCCAGCCACAGGGTCCACATTTCTCCCTAGTCATTAGTTCAAGGTCCAGACAGCTGAATACATTGAGCGTCACACTTGTGTTTGGCCATGTTGTGGCGCTGGTTTGCTGGGGAACTGCCCATTGGTCTGACATCCCATTGTTCCGACCATATAAAACCCATTGTTCCAAAGTCCCGTTGTTCCGAAATCATCATGATGCCCTGTGGTTAAGGTCTGGTTAGGTTTAGGCACAAAAACCACTTGGTTAGGGTCAGGAAAAGATCATGGTGTGGGTTAAAATGAAAAAGAAAGTGACAAACACATAAGCCGTGAGCCTGCTTCGCCTCAAGCCTTTCCCAGCTGACCCAGAGCTGGTCGCGCACACTATCAAGGTAGAAATACGCCCGTCGGGAGCCGTTCAGCACTGCAGAGAGCTCCCCACACAACCCCAACCCCAGAGTCAATAACAGGAGGTTATGGTGTTTCACTCTCTTCTCTCTATGACACTTGTATCTCGACCAGTAGCCTACTTTTGTTGCGTTTGCTGATCCTCTATGGTACACAAATACAGTATATCCTAGTTTAATCACATATCAGAACAACGGGACGTCGGACTAATGGGATGCTGCACCAATGGGCTGTCGGACCAATGATATGGACTCGTTTGCTGTCTCTGTTAAGTAGCTATCCGTTATTTACTCACTCTCCAACAGGAAATGGCACTTCAGAATAAGAAATTCACTGTACTTCAAAATAAAGTGTTTTTGCGAGTCATGTGTGGTCTATTCAGAACGGACCCACGACCCACTTTTGGACCACGAGCCACCAGTTGGGAACCACTGCTCTAGAGCACTCTTATACACGTTTGGCAAAATAATTGGTTATTGTGTTTTCTTCAATTCTACAGTTGACATCTAGGATTAAAGTTATAATATTTTTATAACTTATAATATTTTTTAATAACTATTTTGCTTAATTTACAAAAAGCATTATGGTCTTATAAATAAACACTACACGAACACTTCACATCAGTTATGTTAATGGGAATCAGGCCATCTGATAATTAGTGATTGATCACACTAGAAAATATCACTGACAGTTCTGGTGGGCAGGACGAAAAGTGACAAAGCAGCGTTCTGAGTAAATTATTAATAACTTACAGAAACATAACGTTCATCTTCTCTCCCATCTCTCGGTCTCTCATCTCTGTCCTCAGTCCTGACACTTGTGCTACTATAATGCTGAAGGTTTTTAAGGTTTGCAGGTCCGTGTATTTTTAGCATCCCATGCATCCGTTTGTGATATTTGGTGTCCGGTGCCCCACCCTCTTAAGACTTTCATTTGGGCGCTCTTGACTTGATTCTATCAGCTGTTGCAGCTTCTTCAGGTTCTATGTGTGCACACCGCCCTGTAGTCTTCATGGGGATTTGCAGGGTGATTACCTGTGCTAATTTAAGAACGTGTCATAGACTTTTATTAAGATTTTTCTTAAGAACAAATTTAAGAAAAAATGTCTGATATTGGTGAGTGAGGCCCATTGATATCAGTCCGATGTTTGTGCATTGAGCGCAAAGCTGGAGTCAGGACATGGTTATCAATTTTATCAACTCACACTCAGCCAGTAACCAAATAAAAATATATCCAAAATTGTTGAATTATCCCTTAAACAACAGAATCCTAATCAAAAGCATACTTATTGCTCATAGCTACTATCCATGTTATACTTTGATTCTGCTTTACTTAAAATGCAAAACAAGCAAAAGAAAAGATTAATCTCCTTCCTTCTTACCCACCTGAGACAGACAGCATCTCCTCATCCTCCATATTCGAGGGGCCACAGGTCCCAGTGCTGAAGCTGACAGGAAGCGTTATTTCTCTCTTGGGAACACTGCGAGGTTTAGGAAGCAGAGGAGGCTTCTGCAGCCTGGTGCGCTGCTTTGGTTTGGGCAACTTTCCTCCCTTGGCTTGTTGTGTCGTCTCAGCTCTGCTGACCTCGGCTGTATTCTGTCTGTCTCTCGCCTTCTCCAAAGACTTGTCTTTGTCATCCTCCGCATTTTTTAGCTCCACTTCTCCATCTGTCTCCTCTGTTTTTAATTCAACATCTGCCTCTTTACTCCCTTCATTTTCTTCTTTTAGTGCAATCTCAACATTCATCTGTTCTGTCTCCTCCTCTTGTCTTTGCTCTTCTTCACATATCTCTTCATTGGCTTCTTCTTTAGGTTTACAATCTTCTTCAGGTTCTTCCAACTTATCATGTGTCTCATGTGCATGTTCATCTCCCTCTTCCTCCAGTTTCTTATCCTCTTCCTTTTCTTGTTGCTCCACAACTTCCTCCCGTGTCACTTCCTGAACTTCACTCTCCTCTCTGTCACCATTCTGCTCCTCAGATTCCCCTCCAGACTCTGAACCTTTGAGACTGAGACGTCTGATTCGAGACACTGAGTCCAGCTCTTTCATACGGGCCATTCTGTCTGGGGTTGACCTGCCCAGAGATGTAGCTGATGGAGAAGTGGAAGAGTTTAGCTTATCTTGCAGGGATTCGATTAATTTGCATGCTCCACCTCGCCCCCTCCTCTCCACACTGCACATGCTCAGTGCTAGCTTGTCATCAGGGCTGATGGGTAGGGATAGGGGGAGTTTAGGAGGTGGGAACTCGGGCAGGTCCAGTACCACCAGGGACTGAATCTCAGTATCCTCATTGTCTTCACCATCACTGTGGTTGCTGCTGTGCTTTTGTCCGTCTCCTTCTTCATGGTCCACTCCTGATTCTGTCCCCTTAAGCTCCTCTGCCTCTGCTCCCTGAACAATCAAGGACTCCTCTCTGACTTGCTCACACTCTCCTATCACCTGCTGTGTCTCTTCATTTTGACTTTGTAGTCCCTCAGCTCCAGTGGTATCCATATCATCCTGGTTGTCCTCTGACTGTTTGTCAGCTACACCCAAGGCCTCCACTGGAACAGCTATCCCCAGGATTCTGGCAGCCCTCTGTTCGATGGACTCATTTTCAGGGATACCTTTTGCACATTTGACCTCATACAGGTTGCTGAGGTCCTCTGCAGGTAAAGAATTGGCTTTCTCCTGAATCAGTAAGTTCTCCAGGTGCCTATCTGCCATTGTTGACTCATTCTTATAGGTCAGAGGCTCAGAGATGGCGTATCGTCCATCACCATCATCATCCTTTAACACAAAAGAAACCTCCCTGGTCAGCCTGGTGATACATGGTGATCTCTCTTTCTGAGGTGATCTGCTGCTTTCACTCCTGCTTCTACAGATGCTTAAATTTACCTCACCCCTGAATGGTGGAACACTGTCTGATTTAGCCTTTCTCTCAGTCTCTACCTCAGCTTGAGGCTCTTTATTTGAATTGTGCTCAGGGCTACCACTATTTTTATTAAGTGCTGTCCTGCTGTCCCACGGGAGCTCCACTGACTGAATAAGCTCCTTATGATCGAGGGGAGATGGGACTGAGAGGGAGCGCTGCATTGGCTCCCCAGGACCACCGGGAGTCTCTGTGTAGACAGTTAAACCCACATCCCTGAGCAAGGATTCTTGAGGGACTGGGATGTCCTGTCTGTAGAGACGGTTTGACTCATAGTGTGGGGGTAGTGAGGGCAGGAGACAACTGTCTGTGGGGCCTGGGTTGGACAGTATGGATAACTCATTTGTTGGTGGTATGTTATTGGCCTGTGGCCTTGAGAAAGCACTCTTCATGTCCATGGATTCCAGATCAGCAGTAGAAGCAAAGGACTTTGATCTGACTTTCATATAGTTGGGTTTTTCTATGTGCATTGGCGGAAGACTGATTGCTTCCCTACCTGGTTCTGGACCAGCAGTGAAATGTGCTCCTGATTTAAACCGGTCATATCTCTTCACCCCATCTAGATCATCAAAGCACTGAACCACATGGGGTCTCTTGCTGATTGTGTCTTCCATTTCCTTATTAATTGTTTCCAGTTCACCAATGACATCGCAGGGTCGTCGGTTCACTGGTTTTAAGAGAAACTGACCAAAGGTCACTTGCTCCGCACTCTCTGGGGGACTTGAGTTGCTCTTCTTTGGGGAGGATAGTTGCTGGTCTACCAGTTCCCGGACCTTTGATGGGGAGGATGGTTGCTGGTCTCCCAGATGTCGGACCTTTGTTGGGGAGGATGGTTGCTGGTCTCCCAGATGTCGGACCTTTGTTGGGGAGGATGGTTGCTGGTCTCCCAGATGCCGGACCTTTGATGGGGAGAGTGGCTCTTGTTGTAAGGGTTGAAGGGATGTCGGTTGTGTTGGGCTGAGGCTGAGACGGGAGAAGGCGCTGTTGCTGGACGGATGAAGATTTTTCTGGCCTGCCATGGGGTAACCATAAGAGGAGTTACTGTCTGTCCCCAAACCACTGTCTGTTGTTGTGTCTGAGATGGACTGAACAGGCTCTTGCCCTCCAGGAGGACTTTGGGGTTCTGGACTTTTCACCACCGTCAAAGGTGAGCCAGTCTGGGTTTCCTGGTTACGATACTGGTTTCCAGGCCAGGACCCAGCATAGCACAACTCTTTGTCTTCACTGGCTTGAAGTGCCCAAGCATCTATTATCTCCTTCCTCAAAGGAGCCCTCTTGTAGTTCCTCATTGAGGATGTGCTGCTGGTGTGGAAGTAAGAGTAGTGGTGTTTGATGGGCATCTCATTCACTGACTTGCTCCGCACATTGGGGCTCTCTTTGAGGCCTACAGCGAAAGTTTCTGTTTTGGTGACAGTCAGGCTTGGTATCGTCTCATTGTTGTTCTGATCTGCTGCTAAGTCTTTGCTAATGTTAGTCGGTGTGTGAACAGGGACAGACACAAGGCAGAAGATGGTCTCACTCACTCTTCTCTTAGTGTTCTCTGGTCCTGAATCTGGGGCAATTTTCTTCACTTGGGTGATGGTTTCTGCAAAGACCTGATCTGAGCTGGACCCCTGGCGAGAAGAACTTCTTGTTAATGGGGCCTGGAAGGCTGAAGAGGGAGATGAAGGAGGACGTTGGTTTTTGGGATATCTGTTGTTGCAGTTTTGGTCAGTTGCTGGGAAGTTATCGACAGCCTCTTTGTGCAAATCACTGTGCCACCTGTTATTGTCATTGTCGAAGTCGCTAGAAGACGTCGGGTTAGCATCATTGGCCAGTTTGGCGGCGATGAAAGGCCCCAATGGCGGGGGCAAAAAGGCACTGTCGTTGGATGCAGGCTCCGACACGGTGACGCTGGGAAGCTCGTTGCGGATGTGCCGGATCTTGTCAGCGTCCGTCAGGGAGTTGCCACCCAGGGCTGAGGAAATATGGCGGATGCGGGGGTCATCAAAGGGGATGTATTGGATCCCTCCACCGGGGCGCTCCTGGGTAGTATATACCGGGTAAAGCTGCTTCTGGCTGGACAAGCTCCTTTCTCTCTGTGGATCAGGCCAGGAACCAGCTGGATGTCTGGTGAACCAGTGAGTCCCATCTGGAGCCACTTGTATCTGCTGGTACACATCCCCTCTGTACCTAGGAGTAAGAACAACACAGTTGTACTTTATTTAAGCAACAATGACTTAAACAAGACATAAATCAAAAGAAAAGACGTGGTGTTAACCTAGCTATATTGCTTTACTTTTTTATTTTAGCAAGTTAAGAACTACTTTTGCAAATGTGGTGTCAAGTGAAATGACACAATTTCGGAATACAGCACAGAGGTACTTTCATTGCACTGGATAGATTTAAAGATATCAGTGAACACCACCAGAGAAGAGACATATGATCCTAACAAGACTGGAGCCTCTCCATTGTTATAGCACAAGAGATCCATCACAATCTGAATTGGGCCTCACATGCAAAACATGTTAGTTGGTAGTTTCAACTTATGCTTTGTCACACTTTTTTAGGTTGAGTTTCATCTTAAATGTATAGGGATGACATGGCATACAAGATTAAGTGTTGTACCATCTCTGCTGATGAACACGAGGTGAACTTTCCTACAAGCAAAATGTTGAAATGTTTACTATATTTGTTATAGTCTCATATTAACACTACAAAACATTAGAGCCTCTTGTCAAGTACAACCAAGTAATATTGATGCTTAACTAAGGGTTTTAGATACCCAATGTTAAATTTAAATGCCCAACTAATTTATGTTAAAGGTAAAAATGTCTAATTTAAGTGAAAGAAAAAGATAAAAGACTAATTTACCTGTAGTCTACAGCAATTTCACCATATCCCCGGCGCACCCCTCCCATTATAGGAACTCTTTTATATGACGGGGGAGGGATGTATCCTGGAGGTCCAGAGTCCTGTGCAAAATAGTCCAGTTGGGGGTCACCTGTCCTTGATATTGGAAGTGGCGTTCTGTCCCTGGCCTGGGGAATCACAGAGTCTCTCCCAGACAGCATCTCACAGCTTCCCCTGATCTGCTGGTGCATCTCATAAGAGGGAGGTCTGGGGGGTCGGGTGAAGCGGGGCTTTGGTGTCATTGAGAGTTGGTTGGCGCTAGCTGGCCTGCCATTCTCCGGCCAGCGGGGTGCCCTGTAAAAGTCGTGGTGTGCCAGTGGGTGGCCATTGACCCGCCTGTACAGTTCCAGACCGGACGAGGCTATGTCCACATATTGCAGGCTCTCAGGCTGCAGCATCCTGGGCAGGGACTGGGATTTGGCTTTGGTCCTGGGATGGACTACCATACCCTCTGGTGTCCTGGCATGAAGCCGCTGCTGCTCCTGTGCCCAACGCTCACCCTCACTCTGTGACAGCTGGCGGGCAAAGCTCACTGCTGGACGCCACTCCTCTGTCCCCAGGCTTTGGCACTTCCTCTCACTCGCCATCCTCCACTGATGGAGAGCAGCTTCCCTCTCTCTAGAGCGGGCCTGAGCCTGGACCTGGGCTTGGGCCTGCACCTGAGCCTGGGCCTGGGCTGCCCACCGCTGCCTCTCCTGAGCTATCCTCTGACGCTCCTCTGCAGACAGCTCTTGGCCCCTTGCTTGTTGAGGCCCCTCCGGTCTGCTGTAACCCCCTTGCCCTCCTCCATGGGAATCTCTGAGGTCAGCATAGTCCAGCAGCACAGTGAAATCCTGGCCTCTCCTCCTCCAGTAGGATACATCCTTGGACTGCGGCTGAGGACCTCTGGTGCCATCACAGAACCTGGAGACACACAAATAAAGGCGTGATTATGCTTCAATCAAAATGCTTATTTGATGGTTGAATAGTGTCTCCCCTACACCACTCCAACATCAGAACTGGGTTCTGTAACAATCTGGCAAGCAAGCCCAGTCTACATTAGGGATCAATCAATCAATCAATCAAACTTTATTTATAGAGCACCTTTCATACATCAAAAATGCAACCCCAAAGCGCTTTGGGATGAGATTTTCACAGTACAATAACCGTCTCAGAACATCTCGCGGTTCATGGTATCATGGTGCTACAGAATTTATGTCATTATCAGTCAGAATGACCCTTAAAGGAATGAAATAGAAGGGTAATTTTAGTTGAACGAGCATTTTATCACTATAATTAAAACTTGAAACCATTTTGTTAATGGAAGTATGTGTAAAAGTCTCCTGTTTGAATATAACTACTATAAAGGGTATTCTGGATTCTCCGTCCAGTTGCAATTTTTTCCAATATCATAGAAAAGCAAATGGAAAGGGTGTGATAACTTTTACATCAACTTTTATATCAAGGTATACCTTGAAAGTCACTGTAACCCTTGCCTGCGTAGATAAGTCATTTATGCAGGTATCATTCTTTACACAATTATTTCTGTCCCTTTATGTGTTCAACACTATTAATTCCTTTCATGAAAGACTGCCCCAAAGTGTCTACTTTTATCCCTGTATTTGATCGTTAATGGCAGGCAGTTCAAACAGCCTTGAGTAGTACAGGGAGTAGCCTACAGCCGTTCGGAGCAGCTATAAGCTCTTTTACCTTCAAACATGGTCAGGCTGTGTCGTACAAACTAATTTGCTCAAGCACAACTCGACCTTTAAGATCCTTTGTTTATGAATGAGCCAAAGGAATGCGCTAAGCTACTCACTCTGGAAAAATCTGAGTAAAGTTATGAGCTCTTTGAAACATCAAAGTAATCAAAGCACTGAAACACAACTGCTCAGGGCTATTAAATGCCAACAAATAGGTACTGTGCAAAGGATATGAGGTAAATATCCGTTAACAGTTTGCAGTGTGGACAGAGTGAAAAAAGAGGAAAGCATCTCCCACTAGATGGAGACAGATGACCATGAGTAGCAGCACAGTGTTTAGTAATTGTGTTTTTCTATGGGGCATAATGAACACATTACACAATGATACACTGTGGCTGTTAGTCCCAGATGTCCTCCAAGACAGATCAACAATTTAGAGGACGCTTCATTGACAGTCTTTGTATTGCGCTGTTCTTTAGCTCCTAATGTGAGAACATGGGCAGCATTTCTCTACACCAGCTTAAAGAAAGCTCCTACTACATCTCTGAGAGGATGTTTGATGGCAGACCTGATGGGCTACAACAAGATGCAATGGGTCTCAGCATACAGCCTGATCATTTCAGGCTATTTGCGGAGTGACTGACTGACTGACAACACAAACAAGACGCAAGCACATGTGTACACCCCCCCGGGGCCGAGGCCACTGAGCGTCCTTGACATTTCCATCCATGATCATCACTGGCCAGTGATGTTTGCTAGGGGAAGAGGGGGCTGGCCATGCCAGTCTGCTGAATTTGAGGGCATCTTATGTAAGATGAGTTACCATCATTAGCCTAATTGGGTCTAAGTAGCACTGCCTAATGGGAGTGCCAAGATAGGCCTGTTCCTTATCTAAACTAAAGCTGCCAGGCAAAACGGATTTGGATGAGAGAGGGGAAAAAAAAGAAGGATGAACAAATAACAGACTGAAATCGCAGAACATATGTCTTAGCAATTCCCACATTCCCAACAGAATGCTCTGATAGCACTGGCAGAGCTGCGACATGAAAATGCGGATTACTCGTCTCAAAGAATAAAACTGAAAAGTGATAAAACACCAACACAACCACTGACATTATTCAAGGTCATTTGACTATTTTCAGATGCTCTGTCACTGGCTGGTGGCAAAAAGGGATTAGGGGGGAAAAAAAGAAAGTCAGCCAAACAAAATGTAAGGAAAAAGAGAAAACAATCTGACAAGCCTGCCTAATTGTGTGGACATGAGAACAGCTGTATTGACTTTGTCTCAGTTACAGCACACTAACCCCCAGAACTGGTGCAAATAGGCAAATTAAACAATCCTGTTTTCAGGAAAACAGATTGGCTGCAGCCGGGCGATATCTCTGGAAACATCATATGTTATAACAGTCCTTACCCAAGAGAGTTTCAATTGCATAACTCCAGACTGAGCTAAATATAGCCTATCTGCCATATACATATTTAAATACACCCTATATGAACACTGTATTATTGATGGGGTATGCATTATATAAGTAGGTATAATGCTTGTGACACTGTGAGGCATATTGAGAGGTAGAATGGGGAATGGGGTTTCCTAACAAACCTGGCAACTTGTGTGTGTAAGTTTGGGCATGCTCAAATGGGGCGCGCAGGTTTGCCCAAAAGCTGTTTTGATTAGAACTCCGAGGTCCCATGTGGCAGATTAAGACTCCAGCACACACTATCTCTCCTCCCCTGCCCAACACTTGATTGGAAAGAGGAGGAGGAGAGAGGGGAATGGAGATGAAGTGAGAGAAAGTTGCACACAAGAGAAAAGACAAAAGCAAAAGAGAGATTGCAGGAGGGACTGAGCGGCAGTGTTAGGCAGTTAAGATGCAACACAAAGTCCCCGTGCAAAACTCCTTGATGAGGTTTTTAATTTCACTAATCTGCTCCATCAAAGCACCATAACAATGCATGATTGTGTAATCTATCAATAAAGATTGAGGACAACCATAATGCACAAGGAGCACATCACTCGTCTCAAGGTACAGCGCACGCTATGTCTTACCCACTGTCTGAGGTCAGCGACTCTCCCAAGGAGTGTGTGTCAATTTGGCTCCTGCTCTCGCCCTCCCGCCTGGACAAGCTCCTGTCCCTTGTTTCATTGTTGTTGTTGGGACAGCCGCTGCCATACGCTTGGGGCTGCCTGGCGCCGCCACCATTCCCATAGGGCATCCCAGGCCCTCTTTCATAGCCATTCAACGTCCGGGGACCGGGCCTGTTCTCCAGGATTTCATGGTGTTTGCTGTAGGACGGCGGTGAGGACGAGGGAGGCTGGCGGGACGAGGACGCGGGGGCTGGGGTAGGGGTGGAGGAGGAGGTGGTATGCTTGGGCAGTTTGTATCCATGAGAGATGAGGAGGTCCTCCACGCTGTACATGGTCGCATTTGTTTATGCTGGTGTGTTTTCTTTTTTTCCTCTCTCTGCCTTTTTTTTTTTTTTCTTGAGAGAGAGAGAGGAAGGTAGATCGGTTGTCAAGGCGTCTCTGCTTCTTCCCTACATGCAGCGGCAGGATCACCGGCACAGCTGCGCAGCTGAGGCCATCACTGGGAAGAAAAAGAGAGAAGGGGACGATATGAGGAGACAAGAAGACAGACAGAGAAAAGAAGGTGACGCTAAACACATTATACCCGCTACCCGTGTCCAGTTTCTGTCATGGGTCCAAACCCATATGGACAGTTGAGAGGACGAAACAAAAAAAAAAGACCCCCGAACCCAAATTCTGAGCCACCACGACAAAACCGACATCACCCGCCTTCCCAGCAGTCTGTCCCTCCCTCCTCTCTTCTCCAGTCCTCCTAGCAACAACCCTCTTTCCATCTCACTCGGAGATCACGGCACCAAACCCGTCCACGTCCAGAAGTGAGGCGGACAGGGAGGTAAACAAACACCCTCAAAAGCAACCATAATTAGCATGATGATTAGCGGTGACGTGAGTTTGAGAAGACTGCTGGTGCTGCAGTGAAATGTCACTGTTTACAGTTGGCTCCCTGTAGACTTCCATACAGTGGCTGTAAGGTAGCTGCTAGCAGCCAACCGCTGCTCATGTTTTGCATCAATGAGGCTACTGGGGGATTGTGTTCCTCTCTGCTCACTTCCGCATCCTCTCTATCGACATCTTGTCTTCATCTCAAAGGTATTTGCTGGTTTGAGTCTTAAAGGAGGACATTTTTTCAGCTATGTGCCCTAAAATAATTTCCATCTTGCATAAGGGTTTTATTTCAAAACAGCTCCCTTCACTTCTGGATGTTAAAGAAAATTATAGAATTGAAATCAACATAAAAACTATAGAACATCAGAATCAAAAGGTGTAGAACAAATCATTCAACATGCTCCATGCCCTTTCTTATGGTGTGTAGAGCTCATATGATTAGCCAGTTAAATGATCGACAAAACAATTAATTCGTTTTCAGTTTTCTATGGCAAAAATGCCAAAATGTTGATGGTTTCTGCTCCTCAGTTTGAAATTTGTTCGTTTTTAGGGATAAGCGAGTACAGCATTATCTGTATCTGTGTCTGTATCTGTTCAACCAAGAAATTATCTGTATCTGTACTCGGCGTGGGCGGAGTTTATGCCAGAAGTGGGCGGGGTTTAAGTCAAAAGTGGGTTGGGTCTGATTGAAAGTTGTTATTCTAAGCCTGAAATTTACATGGATTAATCATAAGTTGCAATATTTATCACCTATGGGAAAAGTATTTACACAGCAGCCTCGGAATTGAGCTTTTTTATCACAAGACTTTGTAGAAAAGTACATCATCTGTACCGGATACTTGTTTCATCCATGTATTTGGCTCAACACTATTAGTTTTCCTAGTCCTCTATAATAGTCAGTTGAATAGTCTTTATTCGGGATCCTCATTAGTCATTACCCTGGTAACAACTACTCTTCCCGGGGTCCACACAAAACGCAAAAACAAGACAAGACATTAACTTATGACATCGTAGACAATTAACAACATCGACAAATTTAAATAAAACCCAAGCAAGAGACAGCAGTAGTTGTCTCCCATTTACAATGTCATCCCATCGGTAGATCACAAAAGCAAACCAATAGAGCCCATAACCACGGCTCATAGAACTATAAGTAACTGCATGAACTACACATGACTGCACAAAACATGGTTGTACACTGAGGCATCACCCAAGTGAGCGCCACAAATACAGGGATGGGGGATATGGAGAAAATCAAATGTCATGATATTGATGTTGCAGGTTGACTACTGGTGCTTTCACATAATATTCACACAAAGACATTTCTGATAAATAATAACACGTGATATAATGACTAAGTAGGTAAAGGCGGATAATAGAACAGCTTGAACAAAATTCAGAAAATTACATCAATTTACTGTAATGCAGCCTTTAAAACAGGAAAAGACAACACTTACAGACTAAGATATCTAAAATCTAAGAGGTCTTATATGACAATATAGATATAGTAATGATAAATTGTCCAGCCCTAGTGTATAATGGCATGATGGAAATGTTTTACTATTTTCTTTTCTTCTTTAGACGACAGAATTCCTCAGTTAATAAAAGAAATAATCCACAAACTATTAAATAATGAAAATAACAGATGGTTGCAACCCTATTTGTGTGTTTTCCTTCACAAGCACCAGTGCTGTAAGTGCTCTAATTAAGCTTGAAGATGTAATAGTTGTCGAGGGACACAGCAAAAACAACTGAGCGAGGGACACTGCAATAACACAGAGTAAACCCTAACAATCCACAAAGACTGTAAAAGGTACAATTAGAGGTGCAAATCACAAGTTTCATCATGATACAGTATTATTTCAATTCTTCGTACAACAACGTTTGCTGGTATCACAAAGTCTGCCACAATACGCTTTCCATTCAATTCAGAGGCCTGTGACTGATACAAGATGATGTCTATAAATATCCTTCTCGGCTGCTCGTCACTTGGCCATTGGCACTGTTGGTGACACAGTCATGCCATGGGAATTTCAAAATAAAGGCGTATTTTTACGATGATGACGTAGCAGTGTTTTCACTTTGCATTGACAATACTGGATTGTTGAATCTATATCGATCCAGATCGCTGTATCGCTACACCCCCAGGTAAAACAACATTCTTACTTTTGCTTTCTGCTCGAAAAATGTCAACAAGCATCAGGATCAAGGAATGATGAAGAACTGAATTGATAATACCCAGGGTGCATCTGCTCGTGATGTAACGCCCTTGATGAAGTCATGCTTGCTGCCTTGTCAACAGGACAGATGCTACTGCGGCCCACTCATTCAATACTCTCCACTGGAGCAGACTGCCAACAACCTGGCTGTCCTTAATAAGAAATGGCATTCAGGAACAGCAGCGCGAGACTCGTTGCCAGAATCAAATGCTGTTCAGACAGTTTAAAAACCAATCACACTATGATCGTTTAATGACACAGCCAAATCGCTTGTTTTCGGTTCTGTAAAACAGACGGCCGACACAGCCTCACCAAAATGTATTCAGCTGCAAACAGATTAGCATTTGTTTTGCTTCTTAGCATTTGTTTAGCCACGACGGTCCCATAGAGATGACAAAATCCATCTATGAAAGGCCTCCTGACTCAGAGGGCAGCATCACTACCCCGCTCTATTTCCTCCTGCTCCCTCCCTCCCTCCTCCTTGTACCTGAACCCTAGGATAGCCTACTAGGTGATTAACAGGATCCAAGACCGTGAAATGCCGCTCTCTTTGTATGTCTGGCTCTCTAATACGATTATCTTTTTCATTTAAGGCTTTAAACCTGTTAGTTTTGGAGGATTGACTCTTGGCGCTTACCCAGTTAATACTTTTGTTGAGTTTAACTCTTTCTTCTAAGAGAAGCTAGTTCTGAGTTTGGTCGGGAGGCCTTTGTCAACAATGTTAAAAAATGGGTTTTGGTCTCTTTCATCCAGACGAGCATGCAGACCGCGGACATACAGTTCTTCATTGACTGTTATTTCATGAACTGTACTTGAACTTGAGCTGGGCAACAGGCCAATGACTATGTTCAGTAAGTCACAGTGTGTCTCTGAATACTGTAAATGGCGTAAAATGGAACCCAAGATGGTAATATTTGTGGTCATTTGATGGACGAGAATGTTTCTCTAAAATCCAAACTTTTTTTCTTCTGAGTTTTAAATTAAAAATCAACACCAGGACTCTATGCAACGCTCGAGACGCCCCAATCTATGAAAACAAATAAGAGACAAAAGTATTTTAACCTTCAAAACCTCTGAATACTTAACATTGAAATGTACACTTCACTGAATTCATAGCACCAAAATAGGGATGCGCAATTTTTTTTGCCAATATCCGATATATAATGACTTATTTGGCCAATAACTGATACTGATATCGATATATCCACTTTTTTCCCCACCTCATTTTAGCGATCATCATGTCTCTTCTGTTGTGGAATTACCATCATACTATGCATGCATGCTCTTATCGTGACAGCCCACCAGCAGATGGAGACATGAAATACAATACTTTTCAATGTATGTAATATTTATTGTGCAAAATTTTTTAAAAAAAAGCATGTTGGCGGATTCTGATTTCAATTTTAAGCCAATATCAGCCGATACCAACAGCATGCTGATATTATTATGCATCCCTACATTAAAATATTGAACTTTAAAAACTGTGCATTTGAATTCCTTTGTTCTAAATTCACCCCATTGAAATTAAAATATTAAATGTCTTCATTTGCAATTTCCAAAGCTGAATTTTGAGATTTGTTTATGCTCATGAATTCAGATCCAAGAATTCAAGTTTCAGAATTTTAGACTTTTGAAATTTGATTAGTTAAATTCAGATGCAAAAATTCCACTTAATTTTTTTTTTTTAATAGCAACATCCATGATTCAAGAAAGCAGCTGGAAAACTGAAACCTAATGATGACTACCAGGGAGACCCGACAGTGCGCTAGTTAGTCTTCCCATTTGTGCTGTTTATGAACAGTCTGATTGTACTGTACCTGCTGCTGTATTTGATGTTTTGCAACTTGATTTTTTAGATCTGACCAATCAAATTTGAGCAACCTGAATCTATTTTTTTCCTTGATTTCTGAAATTCTGGAACTTTGGGGCGGCAGTAGATCACTCCATATGGACTTGGATTGGAAACCAGAGGCTTGCCAGCTCAAGCCCCTGTCCAGACCAAACATGAAGCATGCACTGGTGGCTGGAGAGGTGCCAGCTTGACTCCTGGGCACTGCCGAGGTGCGTATATGTGTGTATGACAACAGAGTGAAAAAATTTCGCCTGGGGATTCATATAATACATTTTCAATTTTTGGGTCTGAAGTTGTGACATTGAAAAAAATACATTCAAATTCAGCTAACCATATTTATATTTCAAAAAGGTGTATTCAGAACAAATAAACTCAAATACATGGGTTTAAAAGTAAAATATTTCAATGCAATGAATTCAGTGTCAGTAAAAATGTAAATACTTATGTCTCTTATTTGCCTCCATACATATCAGACTCGCAGATTAGAGTCAGATTGCTATCATCATCCTTCCCTCCCTGTGGATGAGGCCTATCGCTCCAAGC